AAAGAACTAACAGATCTGTCCTGGAGGAAGTGCACCCGAAATGCTCCTTGGAAGCGAGAATGGCCAGACTTTGTCTCACCTATTTTTGTCATGTTGTCAGAAGGGACCATTCTCAGGAGAAGGATGTCATGCTTGGTAAGGTAGAGGGTCGATGAAAGAGGGGGAGGCTTTCAACAAGATGGATTGACATGGTGGCTGCAATGATGGGCTCAAGTATAGCAGGGATCATGGAGCTGGCGTGGGATTGTGCAGTGTTTCGTTCTGCTGTGCACCTAACAACAACAACAATAACCACAGTCAGCCACTGGCTTTGTTCTGACTGATGATATTGAGCTTCTCCATTGTCTACAGATGTAATCAATTTGATTCTTATGTATTTCATCTGGTGAGATCTACATGTATAGTCATCATTTATGTTGTTGGGAAAAAAGGTATTTGTAATGAATAAGTTGTTGGTCTTACAAAATTCTATCACCAAATCCATATGTTCCAACTACTGATACTTCTTTGTTTCCAACTTTTGCATTTCAATCACCAGTATTTATAAATGCACGTTGATTGGATGTTTGATCAATTAGGGACTGCGGAAGTTGCTAAAACATCTTCATTTTCTTCATCTTTAGCTTTAGTGGGTGGTGTGTAAATTTGAATGATTAACTGGTCTTCCTTGTAGGCACATGGATAGTATCCTATCACTGACAGCATTGTACTTCAGGATACATTTTGAAATGTTCTTTTTGACAACGAATGTGATGCCATTCCTCTTCAATTTGTCATTCTTGGCATAGTAGACCATATGATTGTCTGATTCAAAATGACCAATACTAGTCCATTTCAGCTCATTGATGCCTACAATATCAATTTTTTATGTGTTGCATTTCATATTTTATGACTTCTAATTTTTCTAGATTCATACCCTGTACATTTCATGTTCCAATTATTAATGAATGTTTGCACCTGTTTCTGCTCATTTTGAGTCATGACACATCAGCAAATGAAGATCCTGAAAGTTTTACTCCCTCCATGCCATTAATATCAACTCTACTTTGAGGAGGCAGCTCTTCCCCAGTCATATTTGGAATGCTTTCCAACCTAAGGATCTCATCTTCTGCCACTATATCAGACAGTATTTTACTCCTATTAATAGGGTTTTCAATGATTAATTTTTCTTCAGAAGTAGATCACCATGGCTTCCTTTCTAGTCTTTCTGAGTCTGGACACTGCTGAGTCACCATGGATGACTCTGGTGATACTTGAAATACCAGTGACACAGCTTCTAGCACCACAGTACCACCCAAGCCATCATATTGAGACACACTGATAGATGAGTCGTAGATTACGGAAATCCAAATCAAAACCACAAAGAGATATCACTTTGCACCTATTAGGATTGCTATGATTTAAATTACTAGCAAGGATGTGGAGGAATAGGAACCTCATCCATTACTGGTGGGATTTTAAAATGGTAGGGGCATTATGGGAAACATTTTGGCAATTCCTCAAAAAGTTAAACATAGAATTACCATGTGATACACAATTTCTCTTCTAGGTATATATCCAAAGAATTGAAAGCAAAAACACAAACAGAAATCTGTACACCAATGTTCACTGCAGCACTATTCACAATAGCCAAAAGATGGAAACAACCTAAATGTCCATTAAAAGATGAATAGATAAATAAGATGTGCTGTATAAACAAAATATTATTAAACCATAAAGAGCAATGAAGTCCTGATACACGCTACAACATGGATAAATCTTGAAAATATTATGCTGAGTGAAGTATGTCAGTCTCCGTGGTAGTTAATTTTGTGTATCAACTTGGCTAGCCCATGGTTTAGAGTGGTTTGACAGCTGGATATAGTTATTCCCCATGATCACTTCCAGCAGTTGAAGGGGAGTTGCCTTTAGGCTGTTGTCTGTTTCCAGGATATATGGAGAAGCTTTGAGAAAGGTCTCTAGCTTTTTGGCACATCGGGATCCTACATTTGGCTGAGTCTTCATCTCCAGTTCCTGGACTTGAAACATTGGCCTGCCATATTGCCTGCTGATTATGGGATTATGCATTTTACCTGCCAACCTTTTGTTCATCAACCTCAGCAGCCAGCAGCTGCATGAGTTAGGAGACTCCTCCAGCTCCAGTGGGCCTGGAACAAGAGGTAGAGTTGAAGCCCAAGGTTGAGGGTCCTTTACCAAACCCCTAGAGCCAACACTCTGATGTCAGACTTCTAGCCTCCTAAATTGTAAAATAATACATTATGGTTTGTTAAAGCAATCCACTAGTGGTATTTCTGTTACCAGCACTAGAGAACTAAGATAGTCATAAAAAATAAACACTTACATGAAATAGGGAAATGTGTAGAGACCAATAATCATTTTTTATGCTATTATAATATATTTTCCCAGCAACTGATAGATTAACCAGACAAAAAAAATGCCACTAAGGATTAAGGAATCTGAACAATATGAACCATCATGATCTAATTGATATCTGTAGAACATTATTACCAACAAATACAAAATACACATTTATTTCAAGTGCTGTATGCATGTCACAGAACAAATATAAATGAATTTAAAAGGATTAAAATCATGTTGTTATTGTTAGGTGCCTTCCAGTCAGCTCCAACTCATAGCAACCTTATGTATAACAGAACAAATGGTTGCCCCGTACTGGACCATACTCACAATCATTGCTATGTTTGAGCCAATTATAGCAGCCACTGTACCAATTCATCTCATTAAGAGTCTCCTTTTTTTTGCTGACCTTCTACTTTACTTTCTAAGTATTCTACTCTACTTTATATGAACTAAATAATATAGAACATCTTCTTTGACTAGAAAGGAATGAAATTTGGAATCAATAACAATCATTTATATAAAGACTTCCAAATATTTGGAAATTAATCTACACATTTCTAAGTAATCCATATATCAAAGAAGAAATCATATAGATATTAGAAAATATTTCAAATATTTTCATGATAATTAAAATGTAAGAAATAAAAAGCTGGGTACAACTGGAGCACTGCGTATAGGAAAATGTTTAGCTTTCATTAAATGCTTACATTAGAAAGAAAGAAAATCTAAACGCAATGGTGTAAGGCTTCTCATTAAGAAATGAGAAGAAAGGAGAAAAGCAAACCAAAAGTAAATAAAGGGAAGAAAATTCTAAAAATAAAGCTGAAAATTAATAAAAAAGAAAATGATAATAGAGAAAATTAGATAAAGACAGAAAAATAGATAAAGATAAAGGCTGGTTCTTTGAAATGATCAACAAAATGAATGTGGACTATTCTAGGTAAATTATACCTCAATAAAGTGTATTTAAGAAAATGTTTTCGTGTTGGCATATCTTGATTTTTCTTTAATCCGATAACAGAGATAATTATGTAGACATATACCTTTCAGGACTAATGTTTAATTTCTCTTAGAGTTCATAGCTAATTACTTACCTTCTTGAATTTCTTGTAGATACCAAAGCATATGTGTTGACTGATAAATATTTTTAGTTTCCACAAAGTAAACTCCCAAATGAAAATTAAGAGGAATAAAAAAAAGCCTAGAGTACTCATCGTAATCAAGTACTTCCCAATCATATTCTCTTTCAAAGAATAAACATTCTTAATTTCTGTGAATGGCAAAAAAGAGATAATTTTACTGTAGAACATTGGCACCATGCACAAGGTCTGAGAAAAAAAACAAAAAGGTACAAATATTGAATAAGATGGAATATTAGGCTAAATTAAGACAAATATTTAGAATGTGACAAGTGAGAATCATGTTACAAAAATACCATTTTAACAATGAATTCTGAAGGCTAACAGAATTGTACATGAACAGAATGTACAGTAATTAAGTAACCATATGAATATTTCTCAGCAGGAAGATTGGGCAATTTCTGTAGTGATATCGCCTTGGAAGCTCAAGGAGGGGGTCACTGTGAGTCAGATCTGACTCAACGACAGTGAGTTTGGTTTTTTTAACCATTATTGCATGCCATATACAGAATATACCTTTCAGAGGGGTGAGAACTTAAATTGTAAACTTGGTATATACCTCTATTTACTCATTTAGTTCCAGCCCTTCTTTTATTTATTTAGCTTTTATTCATTTTATGTAATACTGTTTAATATTTATTGGTTTAGAGATATGTTGTTAAGTGTTTTGTACATTTTTATGCTATTATAAATGGTATCACTTTTTGAAATGTCATTATTATTGTGTGTTGCTAACAGAACTACAGTTGAATTTATTCTTTGTATGTTCAACTTGCTAAATTATTTTTATAACTTTTTTTATAATTTATGTGTATATTGCTTTCTTATTTCCAATGGATACATTCAAAGCATCTGCTAATAATGCATTTCTTCTTTTTCAAACCCTATACATTTATCTTCTTTTTTTTAATTACTGCCATGTCAAGAGCATGCAGTCAACATTGAATCAAAATGGTGATACAGACATCAAGTTTCATTCCAATTTCAGTTTTTTCACATGCTAGTATTGTATTATTATATCATTACCACCACCCATCTGTCTGTTTGTCACACTGTGGTGGTTTGTGTGTTGCTGTGGTACTGGAAGTTTTGCCACTGGTATTTCAAATACCAGCAGCAAATACCTTGGTGGACAGGTTTCAGCAGAGTTTCCAGACTAAGAACAGGAAGACCTGGTGATCAACTTTTGAAAAAACTGGCCAGCAAAAATCTTAATAGCAGTGGAATATTGTCTGATATATTGATGATGACGGACACAGGTTAGAACCCCAAACCCAAAAAACCAAACTCATTGCTGTTGAGTTGGATCTGACTCATAGTGACACCTCCTTGGGTTTCCAAGGCAGTATCACTACGAAAGTTGATTGCCCAATCTTCCTTCCAAGGAGTGGCTGGGGGGTTTGAACTGCCAGCCTTCTGGTTAGCAGTCAAATGCCTTAGGCATTACACCATAGATTAGAAGGCACTCAAAATACAACTGGGAAAGAGCTGCCTCCTCAAAGTAGAAATTACTCTCAACAAGATGGATTGACACAGTGGTTGCAACAATGGGCTCAAGCAAAGCAATGACTGTGATGATGGTGCAGGACCAGCACTGCTTCCATCTATTGTACAGAGGATTGCTAGGGGTCGGAACAGACTCAATGGTGCCTCAAAATAACATTATATTATTAAGTATGAAAGCTAAAGTATGATGAATATATCTTGAATACATCTCAATTAATGGATTTGACACATTGAACACAAATGACCAAAAACCAGAAGAGTTGTGGGATGACATAAAAAACATCATACATAAAAAAGTAAAAAGTAATTTAAAAGATAGGAAAGAAAGAAAAGAACAAAATGGATGTCAGAGAGACTATGAAACTTCCTCTTGTGTTCAGAGTGGCTAAAGTAAACAGAAGAAACAGATCAAGTAAAATAATTTAACAGAGAATTTCCAAGGGCAGCTCAAGAAGACAAGGCAAATTATAATGAAATGTACAAAGATGTGGAGTTAGAAGACCAAAAGGGAAGAACATGTTCAGAATTTCTGAATCTGAGAGAACTGAAGAGAAAAATTCAAACCTTGAAGTGCAATAATTGAAGGATTCTATGGACTACAAAATTGAATGATGCTGAAGGCAACAAAACAAGGTAGAAGATCACAGGATCATTGTACAAAAAAAAATTTGATCAACCATTTTTAGGATGTAGCATATGATACTAAGGAAGAAGTTCATTTCACACTGAAGGCATTGGCAAAAAAAAACAAGTATCCAGGAATTTATAGATTACCAGATGAGATACTTCAACAAATGGATGCAATGCTGGAAGCACCTATTCATTTATGTCAAGAAATTTGGAAAACAGCTAGTTGGCCAACCAATTGAAAGAGATCCATATTTGTGCCCATTGCAAAGTAAGGTGCTAAAATGAAATGTGAAAATTATTGAATCATATCATTAATATCACATACTAGCAAAGTTTTGCTGAAGATAATTAAAATATGGCTGCAGCAGAAAATTGACAGGAACTGTCAGAAGTTCAAGCCAGATTCAGAAGAGGATATCACTACTCTTGTCAGATGGTTTGCCAAATGCAGCGTATCAGAAATATGTTTATTTATGCTTTATCAGCTATAATAAGGCACTTGAATATGTGGGTCATAACAAATTATGAATAACATTATGAAGAATGAGAATTCATAACATTTTATTGTGCTCATGCTGAACTTACACACAGATCAGAGATAGTTGTTCTAACAGAACAAGAGGTACTGCATGGTTTAAAATTGGAAAAGGGGCAGGGCAGAGTTGTACCCTTTCACCTAATTTATTTAATTTATATGCTGAGCAAATAATCCAAGGGGCTGTACTATGAAGAAGAACATGACATTACAACTATAGAAAGATTCATTAACAACCTATAATGTGCAGATGACACATCCTTGTTACTAAAAATGAAGACGAAGTGAAGCACATACTAAAAAAGATAAAAGAATTTGGTGGACATTACATTTGAACATGAAGAAAATGAGTATCCTCATAACCAGGGCCATCAACAACTTCATAATAAATGATCAAAATTGAAGTTATCAAGGACTTCATTCTTGGATAAACAATCAATGTCCATGGAAGCAGCAATCAAAAAATCACAAGATACATTGTACTGGGAATATCTGCTACAAAAGACTCCTTTAAAAATCTTAAAGGCAAAGATATCACTTTGATAACTAAGATGCACCTGACCCAGAGCATATCAAAGGTATGGCAGATACCTTTGCCCTGGGCACCACTTGAGGGGACGTATCACTGAGTAGTTTGTATTAACCATTGTAATTCCCACTGCCAACAAAATTAAATACCTTTATATTTGTCTCCATGGGTCAGGGTAGACTATGTGATCTTGCTTTGATGAATGTAGGAAAAACAGGAAAAAAATATTACTTTTAGCATGTCATAGGCCAATTTCCATCAGTGAAAGGAAGGAAAGTGCAGGTGTAAGTGTCATGCAGTGCTATAATGTGTGAAGTAAAAGATTAATGATCTTGATTTGTATTTTTTTAGCTGATATTATACTAAAGTTATCTAAAAGATGGGTGTCAGAAGTATGGATAGAGGCACAATTTCAGTGCTTGTTATAGGCACTGTTTACTGTAGATGTACTTCTGGCCTGACCCAAGCTATGATATGCATATGCATATGAAATCTGGACAATGAAAAAGGAAGACAGAAGAAGAATTGATGAATTTAAATGGTGGTATTGGAGAAGAATACTGAATATACCATAGACTGCCAGAAAAACAAACAAATCCATCTTGAAGGAAGCCTACCCAGAATGCTTCTAAGAAGCAAGCAAGGTGAAACTTTGTCTCTCACTTATTTTGGACATATCTTCAGGGGCGATCAGTTGCTGGAGAAGGAAATCATGCTTGGAAAAGAAGAGGGTCAGTGAAAATAAGGAATATCCTCAGTGAGATGGGCTGAAACACAGCAAGGATTATGAGGGTGGTGCAGGACAGGAGAACATTTTGTTTTGTTCTCCTGAGGGTCTCTCTGATTCAGAGCTGACTCTATAGCACTTAACAACAACACGACTGCTGTAGAAACCTTTTATCAATTTCATATAGTATCTATTGCTTTCCTACATTGATATTTTTTAAAGGCATAATTCTTTTATACTCTTGGTTTTCTCCTATACAGTTACATTGCTTTTTAAATGTCCTCTTCTCACATTTGCCTTTCAATAATATACTTAAGCCTCTATCATTCCGTCAGCTATACAGAGTATCTCTTAACTCCTCTCATTGTGTGGTGGTTATGTTTGTGTGTCAACTTGGCTGGGCCTGGTTGAGTGGCTGGGCAGCTGGTGGTAGTTATTCTCCATGATGAGAAAGGCAATCAACACCATGGTGGGATCTACCACAAGCAGCTAAAGTAGCTGTTTTGGGTATGTGGTCTGCTTTCTGTATATAAGAAGCAGCTTTGAGAATGATCTCTAGCATATGCACGCTTGGACCCTGGATGTAGCCATGTCATTGTTCAGCAGCCTGCCATGCTCTGCCGACCTTGAGACTTACAATGGACTTGAATTAATAGCCTGCTGTATGGTTTGGTAACATTGGAAAAGTGCCTTTTTACTTGTCAACCTTGGGTTTGTCAGCCTCAGAAGCCAGCAGCTGTCTGAGTGTAGAAATGCCTCTAGCTCCAGTGGGCCGGGAGCAGGAGGCAGAGCGGGACCCCAAGGTTGAGGGGCTTTCATTCAGCC